GCATGCTCCATTTGTACCAATTTTACTGTCGATTTTTCAAATTAGATTTCCTGAAACAAGTTGGACACACGAAAAAGGGACACGCGACCAGAGACTGTGCCAACCTGCCCGGCCCTACCTACTTATAATTAAACACAGGCATACCAGAAAGTAAGCTACCTATCCTATTCAGGGCCCCTATATTTAAAAAAATGACAAAACAGGCACACCAACACACTCATTTCACGATTCTCACACATACCACTCGGGCGCAGACCTAAACTAGAGAGAACGTCCCGGGACGCCTCCGACACCCGAGTTTAACATTCAACATTCACACTTTAATTTACGTACCAATTTCCTGAAATCGACTAACAATGACTAGCGACCATTGCGTAAAACGTGATTAAAACACGTTTATATTTATATGTGAGATATTAGTAACTAAGGAAAGATACATATAATTTATATAGAAACTCTGCAAGTTGACTTGGAACCATTATTATAACTGATAGTATAATTAATAATATAATTATAGTGTATTTAATAAGTATTACTATAATAAATTCATACTTCAACTTAGTGCGTCAATATTTTAAATATTTATAATGAATAAAATAATAGAAACGACGCAATTCCACATCCTAACCACACACACATGCGGAAAATACGTCGTGCACGATACGCTAACACATTGTCAGTCGCTGAGAAATTTTTTATAAAATTACGAACTATGATCATCGTGCTCAATGTCTTTCACCCACCCAAGTAACACCTGGGCACGTGAGTGAGATCCTGACAATGAACACGGAAGGGTTAAACCTGAAAATCCTGAACTAAAAAAATGATTAGTTTATGTAACTTGTATCTAACGGACTATTGCATTATTTTATTTCAGAGTGTAATGACTCTACTCTTTCAGGGATTATTGAAATTACAAGAGAATAAAGACAATGAACAAAACTTGAATTTATTAAAAAAAATAAGAAATCTAACAACTGAATAATCAAACTAAATAATCAAAATCAAACAATTGACTCTAAATTAAATATTAATGAAAATAATCTCAGATGATTTCTTCATCAAAGCACATTTTCGAGAATGCAAAAGCAGTATGTAAACTTGTTGCTTTGATTCAAAAACCTGCCTGTCGCGAAGTATCTTCTTGCACATAAAATTTCATACATTTTTTACGGAAAGAATTCTAATCTATTATATATTTCAAATTGCATTGAATTATAAAATTCTTAATAATAAAATTCAATTAATTAAATCATTCAATACTATTATAAAAGGAAAGGTGAACCTCGAAATAATTAATAATATTACAACAATTATTAATTATTAATTATTAATTATTATAACAAAATTGCCAGTATATTATCAGTATATGAATAAGTAATAACTACATCTTTCATAGCAATGAAGTCGGAGGGTATCCGTCTTCTATACTATGAAATATTCAAACAAAATAATTATTTATAAATATTTAATTTATCTACTCATATGGATAGTCATATACATATTTTAGCTTTGCAATCATTTATATTAAATATATTTTGACTTTACAAGTAATTACTATAACGGCAAATATAATCTAACTGTTAAAATCGCGATGTGCAAGAAGTCCTATCCTGATCTAATATATAAAAAATTTGAAATGTTACTACTCACGGGTATAAAACAATACCCGCGGTCACTATGCTCATCAAAAATTCTACGTATACAACCAGTCACCCGTGCCGATTCAGACCTTTCGTCCTACGACATGATTGAGTGACCAGAGGAACAAAAATGCATGCGACTCACCGCGAAGAATGATATCATCTGCACTAGACCAAGGAAGCCCTCGTGAAGATCCTCATCAAGCAGATATCACTGATCTCATGGTGGAAGTAAACACAGTGTTTCTTGAAAAACATAAAGACACAATGTTATTTGCGAAAATTTAAATTTTAATAATGATAAAAATTTGGACTCTAATAATTTGAAATGTTTTTCTTTTATAGTTATAATTTTATATTAGACTTCAATGAAAAGAGAACTGTAGAGAATAGAATTAATTCAAGTACAGTGTGATACTAAAGTACTTACATTCTTAACTTTTGAAGCATCGTAAGATTCTTAAAGAATAAGGAGAATTGGAGGTTGTAGAGAATCTGTAACAAAACATAAAACATTAAAATTTATATTTAAAGGCAAAGCAGAATTTTAAGTTCTTAAGAGATAATGAAAGATTCTTACATTCTTGGATCTCCTGAAGAGGCCTTATTCTCTTAAACACTGACTCTAATATACCGAAACCGAATGTTGAATAAGAAAAAATATAAAAAAAGAAAAATAAAAGACTATCAACGCGCGCGTTTAAGTCAAACAATCAGGCGGACTTACTGACTCTAACATCGCGGATTATAATTTAAATGAATTAATAATCTAATTTAGTGAGAGCCATTTTGCTTAAATTAATAGAAAAATATTAAAACATTGCGCAACAAACACTAACTCTACTGACCACATTGTGCGCGGTCACAAAAATTTTCTGAAAATAAAATTGATTTCACAGCTAAATATATTTAAAAAATCATATACAAATCTTGTTCTGAATTGTTTAATTACGTGTTTAAAAAAGTATATTGTAGTAAAGTATAGTATAGTAAAATACGAAAACTTTGAATTTAATAATCTAATACAAGAATATATGAAAATGTATATCATCAAGGTATATCTTTACCACGATCTCTATATTCGAAATAAAGTATTAATTGATTTAATCTTTTCTATTTCCATCCTTGTATCCCATATAATTACGTATCGTGAATTGTATTTCAAATATATATAAATTATATAACAAATATCACATAGAATGAATAAAATATTACCAATTTTCCGTGAAAATTCATTAGATTCTTCATTAATGATCATGGCGTCTATGCCATTTTTACAACCAAGGAACAATCTGCATAAAAAGAAACCAAAAGTTAGAACAAATATGTCAAATGAAGACAAATATGTAAAAGTAAAATGATAATCAACTTCAAATTCTATTAAAAACGCGTACGAGGCAATGTAGCATACGATAATAGTAAGAGTGAAACTGATTGTCAAAAAAATATCAGCACAAAAAGCTTCAAAATCTTACTCGATTTCGTTATCTTAATGCTCAATGAATCGTTAAACACAAGCATATTAATTAAATGATACTATTAATGAGGTATAAATGGAAGTAAAAGAGTGTTGAAGAAGCGACGCCATCGAAAAGACGCCAACGATAGATTAAGGAAAGTTACGAACCTAATGCGACATAATACGTGTTGTTGTCACGAAATTCAGTAGCCGAATGATTCTCCGCGACGCGTCTCGTCTCGAAATTGAGAAAATAGTAAGGGATGGGGTGATCTTGAACAAACAGGCACGACGATAAACATTGTGTTTCGTCAAGTCTCGACACGTTTAGTCGAAAGTTTATTTGTGGTACCGAAAAACAGGTACGACATCAAGAGCCTTACACACACGAGCAAGCGTTTTGTTTATGTTGCTAAGATTTCGAGCTTCAAGGCCTTCTACTTTATTTGTGATCTGAAAAATTTCATTACTGTATCATATTACGCAGTAAAATTATTATTTTAACTATTAAATACGTACAGTCTTAATAAATTATTATTTTTTAGTATTAGGATTGTAAAGGGCACAGTATGAAGTTAAAAAATCAGTAAATAAGTACAAAATGTTATAATAGAAGTGTGTGTGTGTAAAAGCATACAATAAAATACGTGTGTGTATATATATATATATATATATATATATAAAACAATGAGTTACTCAATAATAAGGTTACAATATTTGTACTGATTAGAATTAAAATTAAATTTTGGTATAAAATTATAAATAACTTTTAGCATAGTATGTTTTGTTTAAATATTTATATGCTATTATTTGTTTAATTATTGAAAATTATATGTAATATTATTTGGTTAAACCTTACCTTGAATTGAAATAAATGCACGTTTTATCTTAAAAATACAAAACACAAACACAAATCTATAGCTATTGATTTAATATAAATTTGTTAATATAAATTTTTACCTGAGAAAATCCCTTTCTAAATGATACTTCTATCTGAACGTTTTTTCTGGATAGCACTTTCTTCTTTACAAACGAGGTGTGCTTTCTTCCGCCATTGTTCCCGCTTTAAAATCGATCATGAGAAATATCGATATTCGAGAATCGTAGGAAATATATTGCGTATTTCACCATTGGGGCGCTGTAATCGTACGTTTCGCACGAAATAACTTGGAAAAAATAAAAAATAAATGCCATTAAAATGCCATTATTTCTTTAATTTGTTGAAAATTATGTGTAATAATTATTTGATTAAATTTTACTTTACTAGGGAACTAAAAATTATTACTGTTTTTCTGGCAAATTTCGATGAGTTGAAGTTAAAAAAAGAAAAGTACAAGTTTTATTTTAAAAATTCAGCTATTGATTTAAATTTGTACCTGATAACTTCTGGATAATATTTGTATTTCTTTTCACCGCTTCTCGCCTAAAATTAACGTCACTCCGTTACATTCGAATATTACAAACTGACTGCAATTGTAATTACATATTTGGCCGTTTCATTGGCGCTGTAATCTTTCCTCTAGTTTCAATTTTTTTATAAATTGACATTTTAGAATGTAAAATATATCCTATATGTCGAATTTATTAATTTTAATTTGTTTCAAATAGTTAAATAAATTATAAAACTATTAAAAATAAATTACATACTAAATTTATGTTGCGGTTCATGTAGCATAATATATTAGTAACTTATTTGTTACCAATCTATTAATTCGTTAAAGAAATTATAATGAAATAAACTAATATTAATTAAGGAAATTTTTATTTAAAAAATACTAATATTTTATATATTTTTAGTTAATATAATATTTTAAATTAAATTAATATTGGTAATTCAAACAATACTGAAAATAAAATTCCCTAAGCTACACATAAAGTCACTAGACTCTTACAATAAATACCAACATATACATATTACGTTGACGAAGTACACGCAAAGACAATAAGGTTACTGTTACTGTTGGCGTCATTTTAATGACATTTGAAGTATTTATTATTATTGTATTATATATTGTACATTAATATTGAAGTACTAAATTCTCCAATTCAAACAACTATCATCTTAAATTGAAAATTTCGTATCAACTACATTATTAGAATGAACAAACAAATATTTCTTGTTGTATTATTTACTATACTTGTTAATAAAGGTATAACAATAATTAATTTTTTTGTTATCATGAAAGAGGTATGATTAATTCAGTTTTAGACGTTGTTCATAATGTATACTATATTCTAGGAGAAACCTTATACTGCTACAGATGTAATAGTAATCAACCTGGGTGTGGCACTCCTTTAAATTGGCTGTGGTACTGGGGAGAAACTTGCCCAGAATATGATGATAAATGTATAAAAATTATTGAAAGAAGAGGAGGTAAATTTTTTTCATATAGATAGCTCATTCTTAGATATTAACTAATTTTTTTATTAATATATTGTATTTCTAAATGTATTTCAGCCAATACCATGATAACACGTGATTGTTTAAGTTCTGTACGTAACTTCAGAACAGATATTCCAGCTGATCGATATGAAGGTTGTCGACCAGCTGCAAAAGATGTTCGATTAGGACACTATGTAAATAATTCTATTTGGCAATTAGATATTCATAGAGACTATTATGATGAAGTAACATGGTGTTTCTGCTACTTTGATCATAGATGTAATGATGCAGATAATGTTACTATATCAATATTACTATTATTTATCAGTATTGCAATACATCAGTTTGCAACATGAAACATTTATTTTATATTAAATGCTCATAGCATAAATTTATCAGTTCTTTTTTGACAAAAATTAAGTATATTTACATTTGTATACAGTAAATTTAAGTAGATTATTTTTGTATATAATGTAAATAACCATTTAAATATGAGAAGTTATTTTACATAGAATTATTTTTACATAGAAAATGACATAAAATGCTGTTATAAGAATGCAATCAATAAGAACAAATATTTACATATATTAATATGTAATAAGATTCCGTCCGTAATATGTAATTTTAAAGACTTAATATTTCCGTCCATTTTTAAAGGAAATTATTTGTTGTATTTATGTAATGTTTCTGTCCATTTTTGAAAAAAAAAAACAGTTTTATATTTATATCAAATATATATTGTTATTAAATAACTTTACAATTTTATACTTATATTAAGGTTATACTTTTTATCACATACATGATGTATATTAATTATGTCAGATCTTTAATAAAATGAATATCTTATATTTTTGTTGTATGTCTATAAATTACCTAGATATAAATTAAACTTTAAATATGATTTAAATTCAAGAAAAGGAGAAATTTAAAAATTCAAAATTATATAAAAACAATATTTTTATTAAAGAACACTTTATGACAGATGAATCTTAAATAATAGATGAGAACAAAGAATTTAATTTACAAACATAAATGAATACATATATCTTTTGGTAATATATATATTTTTAAAACTGACTTAGCACTAATCTAAACATAGATTCTAATTATGATTATGTCTAAGTAAAGAATGTGACAAAACTTTATCATCTAATATAAAACAAACAAAGATGCTTTAAGCTTACGTAAAAAAAATAAAGTCACAAAATACTGTCAGAAAAATGAGTATATGTTAGAATGCAATCAGTTTTGCATTAAACTGTCTTCTTAAGCAGCTTTTACTGTTTGTTCTTGACCCCTCTGTGATACGGTGTTTTTCTGAATTTCATTTTGCTTTTCTGATTTTGAATCATCTCTCAAAGCTGGTTGTCCTGTAGTTTGAATCTTAATGATTCTTTCATTTTTTGCCTGTGGAGTTTCCTTCCTTGGTGCAGTGATCATTAAAACTCCATCAGAAGACAAACTTGACTTTAATTGATCGATATCGCACTGTTCTGGCACAATGTACTTTCGTACAAATTGCCTGGAGATGAATCCATGCTCATCCTGTCTTTCTTCATGTTTACCCTCGACCACTACATTGTTTCCCACAACTTTCACTGTCACTTCTTCTGGTGCAAATTGTTGAATATCCAGTGTAACTTGAAATTTATTTTTATCAGCTTGTACAGTAGATATTCCACTGTTTTTACGATTCACAGCTCTTTCATAAGGCTGGAATCTTTGAAAACTACGGCGACGAGGTCTTACTACCAAAATATCAGAATCATGGGGAACCAATGATGTTGGCAGATCATCAGAATTCAGTGAAAGTCCAAAATGTTGGTCGAAAAGGCGATGAGGTCTTTCCAAATCCTCCCACCAGCTGGAGAATAGCATTGGTAGCAGAGACATTGTTCCACTTTTATTTTAACCTATCAAGTGAAATACACTATATTTCAAGTAAAATAAATATTTATATTCTCGCTGACAATATTTATTTTTTCACTTAAAACTTTCACAATTGCACACACTTGTACTTCTCATTAAACAATGAGAATTGTACGCCAACGAGTACTGTCACCGATGATTTGTTTTGAATTCAATCGGAATAACTGCTGCGCACGCGTATATATTTGTTGTACATCGAAAATATAGTGGGGGTAACAGCGAACGAGATACGTATGGAATTATCTGGAAATTTCTCAGATAAAACAGAACAATTAATGTTTATGGAAGCATAATTATTCAGTATACGTAACGTTTAATCAAATAATAAATATTAGAAATATATATAGAAGATAAAAGAAATATTTAAAAATATTTCCCCCTTAGCTGAAAACGTGCGAACATTCGACTGCAGTTCAAACGAAGAACTGTGTAGTTTCGAATCTTCTCGTACCTTCTATATTGATTGCAGATAAAATTTAATCTTACTATGCATACATAAACTTTTTAATTTATCGTACAATGCTACATTACAAAAATAATACATATTATAAACGTTATCAAATATTATTCTGACAAATAATATAATTTCTATACAGTAGTTTTAAATACAGTAGTTTAAATTATTTTATTTAAAAATTATTCGTTTTTTATATTCCAATAACATTTCCAAAAAGAAATAAATTTAAAAAGCTGTTCTGTAACAAAATTTTTACAGAATAAGTAATAACTTTAATAAAATTTAGACGAAAATATTTTATTAAGTCATATAGTCTGTGAATTCTAGAAAATTTACATATAATAATAATATGAATAACATAAGAACATATTTCTTCTTTTCTAAACTTGTATATATACATTTTAATGTATAAATTTTTCGATCTATGTATGATGTATATCTGTATAGAATGTTCACATATATATATATATAATTGGACGATTCTCGAAGTCTCCCGAACCATCTGACCTGCGCAAGTTCACAGATAAATACAACCGCCATGAAACGCTGCTGTCAGTGACTCGTAAGAAGTCGAGCAGTAAAGGTTGTGTGTTCAAGCGAATTTCACGCAATTTCATCAAATAAAAATGTCTTTGGTACCATTGTTGTTCTCTGACTGGTGGGAGACCTTAGATCGTCCGCATCGTCTCTTGGATCAGAATTTCGGACTAGGCCTCTACCCGGATCAATTGTTAACACCAAGCCGGTTGGAAGTATATCTACCATCACGGAAAGCAAGTTCCTATCTCAACAGACCATGGGCTGAATTGATACGCAATGAAAGAGGCAGCTCGACAGTTCAAGCAGACAAGGACAAATTCCAGGTCGTACTTGACGTTCAACAATTTGAACCAAACGAAATAGACGTTAAGGTTGTCGACAAATTCGTTGTCGTTACGGCGAAACATGAAGAAAAGCGGGACGAACATGGTTGGGTCTCTCGTCAATTCACTAGAAAATATCTGATCCCGGAACAATGTGATCTCGATCAAGTGACATCGAAACTATCATCGGATGGTGTTCTTACTATCAGCGCACCAAGGAAGGATCAACAAAATGCAGGAAATGAACGAGTGATCAACATAGAACATACTGGTAAACCGGCAATTCAAACGAAGTCACCTAAGCAGCCACAACAACAAGCCGAAGAAAATGAAAAGAAGAAGTAAAAGTTCCATCACGGAATGATATCTCTGTCATTTATTGTATTTCTGCCATTTAGAATGTACTCACGTATTTATCAATCAATTATGAAATTATGTTATAGTATTTATGTTATCAAAACTTAAAAGTTATATTCATGATTGTTACAAACAATTATTTAATTTTCGTTTCACGATATATATTATTTTCATAAATATTTAAGTAAATGTATATACATATACAGATTCTGCCAGTACGGTTTATGTAACATCGTATGTAATTTTTTTTATTTTCTAATAAATTTTTAAATAATAATATCTATCTTGTGAATTTCACTCTCTAATTACCACTATCCCTCAATCCTGAATTTTAAAATATTGAAACATTTTTTTTTATTTTCTGAGAAAATCTTTGGTTTCTTGTATATCATATTCCATATTTTGTGTAAAGTCTGAAATCTCAATCATTTCAGTAACTAATGTTTTACTTCTAGTTATAAGAAATGACTGATAATAATATATAATTCATCAGATTTTTCATGGTCTTTGACTTTATCCATTTAACAAATGAATTAAGATTATAAAATATTTTTCATGTCACTTAAAATTCTATGTTACATTAAATGTAAAATTGTATCAATATTTCTTTATAATGAAATCTTAAAATTTTTATTATGTTATGTGATAAGTTATATATTTATTGATTCATAATTTGTAATCACTTGAAAAATTAATTAATTATTTATTAATTCATTTTATAATTATGACATTATTTTAATAGCAAGAAAAGAGAGAAGCAATTTTGATAAAATTTTTCTGTAAAATAATTATAACTGGTTGGATTTTATTTTTCTCAAGATAAACAAATAAATTAAGGTTTTTTTAAGTATAAAAAATATGTATATGTAATATCTATAATATCTATAATATAATACGTAGCATAATGTCAATGAAACTTTTACGCTACGTTAATTGAATGTCTACTATGCAACAAAATTTATCCTTTTTTATTATTAAGATTAATAACTTCAGGCATGGTCAGAAAAATTAATTATATTATCTAAAGGAATATAAATAGTTAAAAAATATCGCTGAACTTTTATAATATGTACATGTTTATTCATACACACTTATCATACAATCCTACAAAAAAGATAATTTTATAAATATATATAACGCTCATATATGCTCACTAATAAAATGGAATATACGTTACACACTACAATAGGAACAAAATTTCTACTGTTTTTGCTTTATTTTTTGAGGTTCGTCATCTTCCATCGCCTTTCCTGTTTGCTCGATTTTAATTGTTTTTTCTCGTTTACTTTCTGCAGCCTCTGGTCTTAATGGTGCTGTTATCGTTAAAATACCATCTGAAGACAAAGTACTTGTAGCCTTTTCAGGATCACATTGATCTGGTACTAAATATTTTCGAATGAAATGTCTGGAAATCAGGCCGTGATCGTCTGCCTTGTCTTCATGTTTGCCTGTCAAAATGATATCTTATATACTTCCTAGTACGCAACGTTTAAAATCCAATAATAACAGAGTAATTGCAGTTAATTTTCGAAGAATTGTTAGCAATTACCACGTACTAATTGCATTATAAAAAAAGAAGATGCGCAGTATACGATATTTCTTCCAACACTTTCGAATTTGAAATATTAAATAAACGCATCTTATAGACACTTACCCTCTACAACAATGAAATTGTCAACCACTTTTACATTGACTTCTTCTGGCTTGAACTGCTGTACATCGAGAATTACTCGAAATCTGTCTTTATCATTTTTCATTATAGACCAACCACATTCTTCGTTATCTCGTTCCCATTCAATCCATGGTCGATAGAAACTATATGGAAATGATCTAAATGCTGGTCTTTCAAACGCTGATGAAAAAAGCTGATCCGGTCGTAATCCTCTGCCAAAATGCTGATCCAATAACCGGTGTGGATGTTCCAATGTCTCCCACCAGTGGGAGAATAATCTTGGAATCAATGTCATTCCTCTTCTCATTTTTGAATATTTTTATTTATCAATACTTCTGTAGAAATAGAGTTAACTATGTTATCAATGCAAAAACACGTGTGCACTCCTTGCTTGATCTTTGTATACTGAGGCGCATGCCGGCAATCCAATGGTATATATAGTCAATTGCAGCTTGAGATGAATGAACGCAACTGAAACGCGAATCGAATTTTTCGTGAAAATTCTAGAATGTTCTTTGGTTTTTCTCTGAAACCTTCTAGTAAATTATGAATTGAACAATATTTTCATAATAACATATGGTAATAAGTAAGAACGTATACTAGTCACTAACGAAAAATAAAATATTTTTGTACAAAAGATTTTTGCGGGAAATAAGTGGTAGATTTTATCTGGTTCATTTTAAAATCGTGTATAAATATAATGTTCTCCAAAAATTTCTAGAATAATTTCATACTATTTATTTAAAACTTTTTGTAAGTTGCATCACCTTCGGTCAACATTTAACATTATTACATCAGCTTTATATTCTCTATATGACATGTCTATTCTAAAAATGAATCATACCTAAAAATGAAAATATTAATTAACGAACCAAGGTATACGTAAATTTATGTGTAATATAATATATGAAAACTTAATAAAATAAATTTTAGTATGTATTACTTAATTTTATTAAGTAATATACAACAATATTTAATGTTATTGTAATAAATCTTTTTTACCATGATCTAAAATAATAAATTTTATTACTTGATATCTTTGAATTGATATTTAAATTTAACATAGCACGGGACTGTATGCTCGTATTGATTTTCTAGACTCTGAAGGTAATACTGACACTGACCGCGCGCAACGTTATGCAATTTTATTTTCGGTATCACTGATGAAATTTCTAACGAAATATAAAAATGCTGGTAAAAATTTTGATAACTAATGTCTATCGTATGTTTATCGTATCATCATGTATTGTATAACTGTTATTGCGAATTGAATTTATAAGTGTAATGAATCTGTAAGAAAAGAAAATTTTATAGTTGATTAAATATCGAATTTGAAAAGAAAAAAACAACATTTATTTCATGTATTATATGTTTTTCTGAGAAACGTTGTGGAACGTTCTAGACAATTCGTGCGTTTGAAACTGACACAATGTGAATGAAACTGAAGACTGAGAGAAAGAAAGAGAGAGAGAAAGCGCAAGACAAAGATAGACAAAGTAATAATAGCATGCTCGAGCATCACACCTGACTTGTGAATATTACGGTAAAATAACATGATAAAATAATTAAATACGTCCGCTTGTTGATTTAAGAACGTGTCGATATCTCTGTTTTTTAAGTCAGTAACTTCTCGAAAACTTACGATATAGACAATCCCATCACTACAACGATAGCCAGCCCACATAAATAGCAGCTGTGGCGGGCAAAGTTTCAGTTCAGCTGTAACATTACCAAAGGGAAGCATACTGCACTCTCTCTACTGTATTTGCATTTGTGCACGTGAATTTTCACAACTTCTTCAAATATTGAAAGAGAAGAATCACCAAAGAGTTTAATCGATCGAGTCAGCGATGTCCTTATTACCGTTATTGTTCTCTGCTTGGTGGGCGAATTTGGACCGTCTACATCAACTCCAACTCCGGGATCAAAATTTTGGTATGGGACTTTATCCCGAACAATTAGTGTTACCAAGCACGCTCGACACAATATATCCAAGACTGGCGAATAAAGATGCTTTGGATTTTTATTATTTACCATTGGCTGAGCTTATACGTCGTCGTGAAAGTGATACGTCAACTATCATTGCAGATAAAAATATGTTTAAGGTGATGCTCGACGTGCAGCAATTTAAGCCTGAAGAGATTACCGTGAAACTTATTAATGGGTTCGTTGTGGTGGAAGCGAAACATGAAGAGAAGAGAGATCAACACGGTTTAATTTCAAGACAATTTGTAAGGAGATACTTGTTACCTCAACGTGTGGATGACGAGAAGCTGTCGTCGAACATTTCCTCCGATGGCATATTGACGATCACGGCACCGTTGAAACCAACTGAAGAGAAATCGAACGAGAGAACTATCAAAATTGAGTTTACAGGCAAACCTGCCATTCGTACAACGACGGAGAAGACTGAAGACACCAAAAAGTCAATTTCCACGGAAGAAAGTCGTGAGGAAACAACACAGGAGACCCCTGAGAAATAAGACTTAATTCCTTCTGTTTATTATGATTTATATAAACGTATAATTTTACGATTAGTTCCTTTTCCAATGATAGACTAATAATTATTTATTATAAGTCCTTTTAATAAGAAATTCCATTGTAATTATATTTCTTTTTCATAGTTTTTTAATAAAGCAAATTTTAATAAAATTTCTATGGCGCAGTTTTCATAATCCTTATTTCGATTCTGTATTGGTTAAAATATTAGCATCAAGTTATTTCTCTATGAAATAAAATATTTCAGGCAACAAATTAGCTTCATTACTTCTATTTATTTTGTCTTTTGGTTTATTCTTTAAGTATGCACCGTGAGGATTACCCCTAGGATAGGTGCCACCTTAAAATTAGGCGCCCCGCTTTCTTCCCGTGTGTGTTTTGTCCTACAAAAACGTGTGTGTAAAAAGTTGAATTTTTTTTTCAATAGATCGAAGGGTGTCCTTGTCGCACTCTGTTGCTTTCCTTGTCTGGCGTTATTAGACAAGGAGAGCACTAGCGTGCAACAAGGACAGACATATAGGCGCGGTAGACAAGGAGAACGATAGCGTGCGACAAGGACAGACATATAGACGCGGTAGACAAGGAGAGCGATAGCGTGGGACAAGGACAACAATATAAATTAGTTCCACCGTTTCACCGCTACGCGACGCTAGTATTTTAAGGGGGTATTCTAGTGTGGAGTGCGTGTTTTTTTAACTTTATTTTTTTGCAAAGAATCTTTATACTTTTTGCAGTCAAATTAACAAGGTTTATTTGTACGTATTTCAACGTTTTAAAATTGTTTGAGACAAAAAAAGTTAAAATTAGTGGCAGTGTATACTTTCAAACATAGTCGCTTTTAAAAAAGGTTGTCTCACGGTGTCCATGACTCCATTCTGCTTGTCGGAAATCAAAAAAAAGGTGAATGTTCCTTAATTAGTATGAGTTTGGCTATAGCAGGCACAAAAATAAAAGAAAAAAGTCGGTAATTAAAAAAGTAGCGATACTTTAAAGTTCGATTATCGATGCATGTTTTTGTTAAACTTCGGAAGCCTAAAAAAGTATAAAAAATAAAATTTTTTGGTTGATTCTGGTAGGGGCTATAGTCACGCATGTACTAAATGCGTACTTAAAATTTTGAGTCAATTGGTCAAGTAGATTTTGAGATATCACGGACACCGTTCCGAAAAACGCCTTTAAAGTTTAGTGTTGCGGTAACGATGACGCTGGTCGTCACGTCCTTCAAACAACCATAACTTCGTTAATTTTAGGAGTTCACATGTAAGGTTAGAGATTTATTTTTGAATAATCGTTTCGAATTTTGAGATTATTTAGTTATTACAATTGAATTCGGTAAGAATATGTTTAATTTTATGCAAAATATAAAAATAATAATATAACAAATTTTGCAATTTGTTTTGCTTTGGGGATTACGAGAGAAATGTTTGTAATTATAGAAGATGAGAAACTAATTTTTTTCATAAAAAGAATCATTTATGGTGATTCACTTGATTGCTATTTTATGTTTAAATGAGTTTAGATATGTTTCATTGCGTTTGTGGTATTAATAATTCAATTTTCTTTGCATAAATGTATTTTCTTACTGAAATAAATTGGCAAAATTGTTGATAATAGAGAAATGAAATACTTTTTAAAATTATTATAAATCAACATATTTAATACTGTAAACATAGAATAATCTAAACTTGAGTATTAACATTCAAAAGATACTGAATTCGAATCATTTATATGCAATTATCTACAAATTTCTTTAATTTCAAGAAATTTCGTTTTGCGCGTGCTTGCAAATTTTTCTCGGGCACGTTCGATTGGAGCGCTTCTCCTCGGTCACGTTAAGAAATACTGCAGTCTGCTCACAGCAGTGATCATATTACATCTGCTGTCGCGAAAAACCGAGGAACCTCAATTAACTTGATTTATTTGAATCAGTCTGAAATCCACGAATAATCGAAATGTCTCTAGAGCAATTATTATTTTGTCCCAGTTGGTGGGAGAACCTGGAACGTACCAATCGTACTTTAGATAAAACTCTGAATCCTGGAGTCAGTCCTGAAATTCTAATCCCAAAAATTCTGCAAATGTACGATCTTCTATCGCATAAAACGGACTTGAAGTCTCCTATGGAGTATTACAGACCGTGGGGTGAATTTCTACGTAAAGACGAAGGTGGTACATCAATTGTGGTAGCTGATAAAGACAAGTTTCGTGTGAATTTGGACGTACAGGAATTTCAATCTGACGAAATCAGTGTTAAAGTCGTAGATCGTTTTGTCGTCGTCGAAGCAAGTCACGAAGAGAAGGAGGATGAACACGGCTGGATCTCTAGACGATTCACGAGGAAATACATAATTCCAGAACAATGTGACATCGACCAAGTTTCCTCGGAACTTTCATCGGATGGTGTTCTTTCGATCATCGTACCGCGCAAAGAAAAATTTGCTTCTGGAAATGAAAGGGTAATTAACATCGAGCGCACCGGCAAATCGTCTGTATGTGATATGCAAAACGAAGAGAATGAAGCGAAGGAAAAAGAGAAAGAGAAGGAGAAAGAAGGAGAAAAAGAGGAGGAAAAGGAAGAGGAGCAGGAGGAGGAGGAGGAGGCAGAGTAAAATTTAAGACCGAGTTCGACTTTTATTATCTTATTCTACACTAGCTCCTATCGCGAATATTTATTTGATGTTTATATCAGCGAAACGCCTTGAACAAATTTAGATTTACATTTACGTATTTTTCATACATCTACATACATATGTACAATACGTACTACATTGATCTTATTAGATAAACTTACAGTAATATTTATTATTTCAAATATTATTTCAAGTATTTTTTTCTATATGTAATAATCATGTTACATATATAAATACTAAAAATTGACATTCTGATATATGTAGTATATCTAGGAATATGTTTCTTTCATTGTTTTATCTATGATATTTTTAATATATTCTGATTTATGTTACTAAGCTGATAATTAGTAAGCTGATCTATGTAACATATGTATAAAAGTAATCTTGTATCTAGCTTAAAAGCATGTACTCGATCTTGCAAGCGATCAATAATACTGATTGTGAGATATCGAGATGTAATTTTCAACGTAATTTAGGTCTATATGCAATCGAATCTAAGTAAAGCAGAAGAAAATGTAAAGAAAGATTTTATTTTTATAGTGCTTATTTGAAGAAAATTGTAATTTCGTTTAAAATTTTAATCAACTTTAAACAAACAGTATTATTATTAAAGGATATTTAATATATAACATAATACTTATTAGATATATCGATATTAGTATACCATGGAATGAGAAATGAATTCCTATTGAATAATATTATTAATTTTTATTTACATATTCCTACTAAATAGTATTATATTTTTATAATTAGTAGCAATTATATTTATATTACTTACGTATGTATTGTAAACTATAGATGTAAAAAAAAAGCTAGGCTCTATGATAACAATTGATAATTTATCGTTAGCTGGCAACATTATAAACTATGAACGTATTGTATTTATTGTACATTCCTATGTCTCCATTGTTGAATATATTGCAATTAAATAAAATAATTACAAGAAATAAGCATTATTTTATATTTTTAATGAACCAAGTTTTATTTAAATGATCCTGTAAACTAAATTAAAAATAATTGCATATGTTTTCTTATAATTGTAAAATAGAACAATAAACGTATCATAGTCAATGCTTTTATTTTTTTATATTAACGAATATCATACATGTAGCAACGGTGCGTTTATTTAAAATATAACTTTTTACAAGATTTAGTATGTACACTTGTGCGTTTATTTAAAATATAACTTTTTACAAGATTTAGTATGTACACGTATTTAGTATGTACACTTGTAACATGTAAACATAAATGACTCAAATTTTAGCTTAATCTCTCTGAAAATCTCTAAAATTTGAAGCGACTCATGATTAATTGTGAAATCATGACAAAGCATTATCATTTCAAGCTTATGACTCATAATAAAGTAATTGTATCATATTGCATAATATTGCATCATATATTCGAAAAATTTCATAAAACGTTGCAATTTCTGCAAAGTACGTTTAAGTACGTATATAAACAATTTGATTTCAAGTTTGAACGACTTAAACTCTCTATACTAAAAATCAATATATATATATATAGTGTTTCGTAACTTGTAGGATCCACTTCGAGAGCTGATTGTACGCCTAAAAATAATGAAAAAAGTCATGTAAATATATATTCTATCTGTCGTTCGATATAATGAATTCTATAAACAAAGCAAACTCTGTCCGGCCTCTCTTCCCATAGACCGCAATAGTTCGTAAGCAAGAATTCGCACTGTTTACAAATAATACTTACTTGATATCTTTCGTTTTTTGTACTTGGTTCTTGCAAATGTGTGAACGTGAAAAGAGTTGTGTATCTACCATACTTTTCACTGATGAAGCTAGTTTTACAGGATGGTGTGTGTGTGTATTTATATATATACTACGACTTTTGAACGCACAGAACATTAAAGCTACGTTTATATCACATTGCGCAAGTCTATTCTATATACAGAACTGATCTGTGATACGAAAACGATGGTCATGTCCAAGGACAGCTCTAGTATTTTCCAGGGTCTTCTTGAATGCGCGATGGTAGTATCCCCACCACTTTGCCTAGTGCACAACGAATATGTATAAAGAGACCTGCGTGGTTGCCGCCAGTTGATTCATATGTGAACGATAAAACGGTACGGCCGAATAATCAGTTATTCGAAATAAATCGACAATTCATATTTATTGCATTGCAATATTAATTTCAGAATAGACATTCTAATAATTAACTAATAGATGAAACATTTGAATTAGTTGTATACGAAAAGTGCGAGAACATTCCCGAATCAATTAACAACAGTGCGAGTTGACATTGAAATAATTAGACAATGTCGCTAATGCCGATGTTATTCTCTGACTGGTGGGAAGATTTGGACCGACCTCACCGCCTTTGGGATCAACATTTTGGCACGACTCTAGATCCAGATGATCTCAATGAATTTGATGCAGATATCTATCGGCCACACAGACGCGGCAGAAGACATCATCATCATCATCCATTCTTAAAGAGTTTGAACAAAAGGCATGGACGCGGTGTGTCAACTGTGCAAGCTGATAAGGACAAATTTCAAGTAACGTTGGATGTGTCGCAGTTTACACCAGAAGAAATTAATGTTAAAGTGGTAGATCAGAAAATTGTAGTTGAAGCTAAACATGACGAAAGAAAGGACGAACATGGCTGGATATCCAGACAATTTGTCAGAAAATATATGGTACCGTCGCAATGCGATGTCGACCAAGTGGAATCACATTTGTCGTCAGATGGGATCTTATCTATTTCGGCACCTAGAAAGCAGCCTTTACAATCTGAATCAAACGAAAGAGTTATAAAGATACAGTACACGGGTGAACCAGCTTTAACCAGTCAGGATGATAATACGAACTCGTCAGAATCGCAAAGAGAACAGCAAACACAACAACGAATGCAGCAGCAACAATCGCAACAGCCGCAACAGTCACAACAGCAACATCAACGTGGCAGAAAAAGCAATGTTAAAGCTGCATAAATCATCTTTATCATTCTTTACTTGTCGATTCCATTTTTTTTTTTTTTTTTTTTTAAATCAATACCAGAAATATAATTTAAAGTATTATAAATGTTATGAAAGTTATGTGAAAAACAAATTTTGTATTGTCATTTTTTTTAAGAAATAAACTATATTTTTTTGATTTAAATAACGCTAGTTCTTTAATTCATCTCTTTCTCTTTTTTAAATGTGTAACAATAAATTTTGAAAAAGACATACAATGTTTTATTAATATAAAATGCTATTTAAAAAATTATATAAGAAATTGGCCAATGTTAAATGTTCAATTGACTTTTTGGTGATTGAATGTTAATTATATAATTACTGATAATATGTTATAATATGTTAATTGTATTATTATTAACAATATTTATAAATATATTTTAATGAATAAATTTCTTTAAATTCATTTTTAACATAATTATGATAAATAATATATATATAACTATATAATATATTAAATAAATAATATTTGACCATAAAACCTTTAATTTCATTTGTTACCTTCATAATTCCAAAACATTTATATATATTAAAAATATCTCTCACTTAAATTAAAAAATTATTTTTATGTAAATTGAACGACTATTATTAATCGATTGTTACTTAAAAATAATTTAATTTATAATTAGAAACGTCTAGAATTTTTTATCTAGAATATACTGACCTGTGATAAGCTAGAAATGCAGTATATGTGGGCTAGCAGCCAACACATAAATTAGCAGCTTAGAAGCACCAAGAAGCACTGATTTTGTATCATATAAAAATAGACTGCACACACGTAGGAAATGCAAAGTTTATGCCAAATATTAGTGGTGTATATTTTGTATAGAATTTTGTCGTATTCAAGGGAAAAAGCCGTTTCTTTCTAAAAAAAGAAATGTCAATATTGCTCAAACACTATTTCCATATTTCAAATTTGAATTATTTCGAATTATTTTACTTGATTAATAATAACGTTTTATGAATTATTAACGTTTATAAAGTAATACAAAAATAATATCCATCAATTAACATAAGAATATTGATTTATTATGACATATATTATATTTACAAACTATGTAATATAATTATAGTAATAGACTGTTATTCACATGTAGAAGGTTATTCACATGTACGTTTTATATTAAGATTACAGGAATATTTTTTACTTTCGAGATTGAAAAACAACGGATTAAATTTAAAATTAATTTTGTACTTAATATTGTACTTTCAATAGTAACGACAAAATTCTGATAATGTACTTTTTAATATTTGTAAATTTGTCAATGGATTTCGATAATTTCTTATGGATTATTTTTTCATGTTATTAAAACTTTCACATCAAACCTTTTACAATTTAAAGATAATACGTGACTGGAGACACACCTACGCGCAGCAATTTTTAGTTTGGAACGTTATGAAGTCGCCAATAGTGAATATATTCAATTGTAAAAGCATTAAATGCACATATGTACTCGATGCGATTGGCGATAGATAAATCTAGAAGAATGTATTTCTAGATAAATCTAGAAGAAAGAACTTTTTGAAAAATCAGAAGTTTGCAATTAATAGAGCTATTAATAGATAGTCATTTCCAATGAATAATCTTTATTTAAGCAACATAAGCAGTTTTCTGGCATAAAATTGCATTTGCGTAAAAAATACAAAAAACAAAATTATGTTATTAATTGTACCTTGTTATGTTATTGTTATGTTATTAATTGTACCAAAATTATGTTATTAAATGTAGCAAAATCGTGCAATTTATTAAATAATCAATAAATCGACAATATGTTATTTGCGACTTATATCGATAACAATGAAGTTTAAAAAAGTAATAACTGATTAAAAAATTAAACTGATTAGAAAATATAATCAATTTCATTTTTAGATTTGTATTTCTATGTAAACTATTTGTATAGAAATAGTACTATAGAAATAGTACTTACACATTTCAACCATATATTTAGAAAGTTTTGTGTAATTAAAAATTGTAACGATAAAATATTCAAATAGTACTTCCTTGTAAAGTAAAATAATTTAGAAATGATATAGATATGCGTAAACAAAAACGTATACATATGTATAAATACAACTGATTTCGTTCCTATTAATACGCCAAGTATATTATGGTTATGTGGTAAGAAGTAAGAAATTTCTTTTTATTTGCCACATTTATGCTTACAATCTAAAATTATTACACGTTATTTTAAGCTATAAATACCTGTGAATGATATATAGTAGCGAAAATATCTTCGTAAATAAAGAATTTTCTCGAAAATGTTCTTGAAATCAGAATATTCTAGATACTCCATCTGACGACAGCCAGAACCGATATAAATGGGCGCGCTGCGAAACAGAGTAACAGTATACTGCGAACATTTGAACTACGAACGTTGAGAGCGAATTTGCTTCGTACACTACCTTCAAGGAAATCTTGTTAAAATCTTGTTAAACACATTATTTAACGTATCAAACACCAAGTAACCAAGTCAAAATGTCTCTGATTCCGTTGCTGTTCTCTGAGTGGTGGGAAGACCTGGACCGTCCGCACCGACTTTTCGATCAAAACTTTGGTTTGGGATTGTATCCTGAGCAATTATTAAATTCAAATATCCTCGATCAATACATCTTGCCTAGCCGAGACCGAAGACAGAGAGGCCCACTGATTTACTACAGACCGTGGGGTGAACTTTTACGGAAAAACGAAGGAGGAGGCATGTCTACGGTAAAAGCGGATAAGGATAAGTTCCAGGTAATCCTAGATGTCCAGCAATTCAAACCAGAGGAAATCAACGTCAAGATCGTTGACAAATTCGTGGTTGTCGAGGGTAAACACGAAGAGAAACAAGACGAGCACGGTTGGATTTCGAGACAGTTCAGCAGGAGATACATGATTCCCGAGCAATGCGACATCGATCAAGTAACGTCTAGTTTATCGTCCGACGGTGTGCTTAACATCATCGCTCCTAGAAAGGACAAACCGAAGGTCCAGAATGAAAGAATAATTGCGATTGAGAAAACTGGCAAACCGGCGGTGAAGGAAATAGAAGAAAAAACGGAAGAGAAGAAGGAAGATAAGAAAGAGAAGGAAGAAAAGAAAGAATAAAATTAATGCCTAGAAATACGTTAAATTATTGATATATCCAACATTCTGTTCCTGCTTCTTTTGTAATTAATTGCTTTAATACATGTTAAAACATGTAATTTGATCTTTGTAATATAGTTTAAGAAATTTTTTAAAAATAAATGTTCATTAAAATATAATTTGAAACTTTTTTTTTGTGTATGTTTTTTCTCTATATTTTATCTTTTCTTTCTAGAACATTTTAAAAAACAATAAGATTAAAGTATTTATGTATCCAATTCTAATGTATCAAAAATATCAAAAGATTATTTCAGTTTAGATACTTTAGTTTATGAATATTCATATTATGGACTGAAAATATTGTCCTTAGAATAATTTATATTGTCATAAAATCATAAAAAGTTCTTATAACATAATTATAAAAATTATATAGTTATAACAGAAGTTGTATAATGTTTAGAAATGGTCGTATTATAACCACTGAATACATATTTTAGATAAATGAAATTCAATAAAAAAGATATAGTAAATTACTATCATCTATATCTAATTTTTGTTAAAAGTTTTAGCCAATAAATTGAAATATTATATTGTATATAATATTAATTTATAATTTATTATTTATTATTTATTGCTAACCCACCACTTTGTTTCTTTAAATACATAATTTCATATATACAGTTAATGTAAAACTAACTGAAATGATTCAAATATTTTATCTCAGAGTATTATAATGTTTAAAATTGCAAAGATATAAATAAAACTTGTAATTAATGTCTAAGTTATAAATTAGATTACATCAAATTTAATATTATTATTTGCACAAGTAAACGAATGAATCACATCAATGTTACACTTCATATTATCTTTACAAATACATGTGAACAAATTCAATACAAATGTATCCTATTCGTTGTACAATTTGAGATAAAATATTTTTTATCTTGTTTTTAACAAAATAATATGATTACGGATTTTGAATTGACGAAATTTTCACTCTATACTGATTATTGTAACATATCTTTTATCAATTTACATTATTTAATTATTGTCAATTGAAAATTGAATTTTCGGATTGACGTTAAACATTTCTCCCGTAAGCACCATGAAATATTACATGTTTTATTATTTTTATTAGATTTTATCAAGTAAAACTTTTTACAAATATTTAAGTTATTTCCTTTATGATGAAAAATCGATGTTAAGGAAGCAATGTGTTGTAATGTATTGTATTTAACAATTCATTAATATGATTTATTATAAACATCGTTTTTTCTCTTATAAAAGCATGGTAAAATTAATTTCATAATCATTTCCTTTGTTTACTCTTATTAAGTGAAATTCAACAAACAAATTTCCCTTAAACATTGCTTTCCACTACAGTCTTACAATTTACAAAGAAAAATATATAGGAATTGTTAATATCAGCTGTCCTTCAGTACTTCTTTCAAAATAGATCCTGTATTTCTGGCTGGAATAAAGTCCGGGAATGTTGGTAAATTTACATTGGAAAGTAACGAAGTAGATTGTGTTGAGGACGTAGAATGTTGTCTACTGTGTCCGGGTCGTGGTAACGGCTAGAGAAGAATAATCACATCAATAATTTGTAATGATAAACATTGTTAAGAATAAATAAATAACTACAGATTAATATTCTTACCGATGTTTGAATTGGCAATGCTGGTAATTGTGGCTTAGGTTTCGATTCGTTTTCTAGAAATCTAATGAATGCTGCTGACAATGACGCCTCCTGATCCTGGATAACAGAATTATTATTTATATAACGTATTTTATATTTTTATAAGAATATTTATATATTTACATGTATATTTATATTCTATACACGTATATGCATGTGTGTGTATATCTAATTCATATGATCGAAGTAATATATATATATGATCGATATGCATATCGATATACGTATACAACAGCGCCACTTATTCGATATTTCGCACTAGTTGTTGCAAGACCCGCGAACGTGCGTGCGTGGAGTGGAGAACAGTTTGTTTATTTTAATCTGTTTGTTAATGAGTGCAATTTGTTTGTTAACGAGTGTTTGTTACATTGTGCAGTAAATAATTGTTACGTGAGAAATATTGATTTACCTTATTAGGAACGATAGATCCGCCACTTAAACGAGAAAACCAACTATTTTGCCCGACTACGTTGTTCAATCCCGCTTTATCCTTCTCTATTTCATTGAAATCCAAAACCGTGGAGAACACTCTGAGGACCGAAGATTTATCTGCTGCCGACGAAGACAGGTAACCCAATAAAAGATTTTTAACGAGAGTTCTGAAAAGAATGAATGTCGTTTTTTAATAATTGCATTTTTTAATAATTTTAATATATAAAATAAAATAGAAAAATTTAGGAATATAATTAAAATTAAGAATTCTAATTCTATCTAGAAATAATGTTTATAAATGTATGAAACAGATATTAACTTATCAACTTTTCCCTCTCCACTTTGTTGTGCCTCTTCTATTCTGCGATCAGCAGTATTTACAAGATTTGTTAACCGGTCCACTAGAAATATATAATAAAACCATGTAAAAAAGAAGAATAATAGAAACAAGATCAATAAACATTAGAAAATAATTTTTACACTAGTTTGATATTCTTAAAACTGTAATTTCAGACAGTAGATATTAACTGTTTAAGGAAAAGTTTAGCATGTTGGATGTTTCATTTCTATACATGTGCATTCCAGCGTTGTAAAGTTGGCGGATTTGAAGGTTGAAAAGACATGAGCGTAAGTATAACACAAGTACTGGTTGTCTGAATATTACACCAGTACCTGATGTAATACTCACACCCATGTCTTAGTTGCTCATGCTGCATTCTTCACTTATCATGCTATACTAGCAAACTATGACACATGCCACTAGAAGTAAGAAAAGCTATATTAATATAGTAATAAGTACTTTAGTATGTTACAATACATATTACAATACATTACAGTAGCTATTTTAATATAGTCTCATTATAGTTCTTTATAAATAAAGTCATGTACTTCATCTTACAAAGTAATATAACTTGCAATAGCTACATAATCATAAAATAGTTTCATTTATATAGCTTTTACTAGCACAAATAAAGATATAGATTTCAGTTCAGAGGGAGTTTACTCTTACAAAAATTAAATAAATCATAACTCCAATAATATTAATGATTGGAGATAAAATAAAACAAAAAATGTACATCATAGATAGCAGAATGAAAACCTTCAATAACATTTCATCCTTGTAGGATAATGGTAACGGGTGGGAAACCCCACGAGGTAATATGAGCTTTTACAATTCACACGCTCACAGTTACCGCATGAGATTACCCACGCTAACGCTACCAGATTTTACGTTTATACACATTTGCTTATGTATTACATATTATTTTAATACATGTATCTATAACTAAATTTCTTATTTTATCTGTGATGTATTTAAATATTGAACTTAACTTTCAAGTTCTATAAAAAACTACAGAAATACATAGTTCACTTATGAATAATATAATTATAGCAGATATTATTTAAGTAACATCATTATACATTACTATTATAACTTATAGTAATATAGTTACAATAGTATTGTAAATTTATGGTTGTTAAACATTTTTCTCTTGAGAAATAAGAAATCTCACAATAATAATTACAATTTTCACACTATCAACATTCCAGTTGTATCAATTGGAAGAACGAATTATCTATTTTACACAAATTATAAATTATATATATGTATATATATGTTTAACAATATTGATAGATTCTTGATGACACAAACTAAGTTAAAAAATATAATTTACACATAAACGAAAAAAAACCATACAATAAAATTTTTTACTTTTGTGCCCTTGCTATCTAACAATATTTTATGTTAGTAAGTAGGGATTTATATGTAAAAAAAATAGGAGAAGATAGTACCAGCACCAGTGGCAATGCATGAGCCAACAAAGATGTGATTTAGTGCGCTAAGGCGATTGTCCAGTTCGTAGCCGGATACCAGCAAGAATCCTGGGCTATTGTCGAAATCCCAGAATTACCAGCTGATATTTGACTACATCACCAGATTGTTTACGTGTTTGCTTTTTGCAGATTAGTCACAGATCACACTCAAACTGATGATAATAGTGTAGAATTTAACCATTTCACCAGTGCGTAAATTATATAATTAGAACATATGTGATATTTTGTGTATAGGCAAGCTATTATAGCATCAAATTCTTTTGCATAATTTACTGCATGTGCTTTTATATTTATTTTATATAAAAAGGGAATTTTAAGTGAACTAACATATTCTTGACCTCAAACATTAATACTAGTTAACAGATTTTCATTTTGTTTTATTATTTCAATATTAATATATATATATTTTTTTTGTATTCTTCATTGCATATGGTCAGTAATGATACAATTTAGGCAATTACATATCTGTTATCTTGTATTAGTAAAAAATTAGAACAAATAAATTTAATCTAAATACAATACAATTCATAAAATTTAATCTAGATACAATATACTTCATAAAATTTGAATCATATGAGAATAATTCACTTATAAAAATTCAAATGTAAGTCTTCTTCAAAATAAATGAAAAAAATGAAAACAATGAAAAAAATACTTCATATAAAAAGGATTAGTATATAAATTATTGAATTATTCTCAATATGACAATATTTAATATTGATGTTACATAGCAATTTATATTGAAAATTTTAATAATTAGATAATATCAAGCTTTATTTTATCTAAGAAATTAGAAACCTGAAACTTTATTTTATAAATTGCACATAAAAATCCCGGACATTTATAGTCCACACCAAAGAAGCACATGTGCGTATTATTTACTTATGCTTAACAATAATTTTTGAAGATGATATTAATTGACATATTTATCACATAATTAATTACGTCAGATGTATGTATGTCGACTTTTCATGGATTTAGGAACAGAAATTTTCTTTGTGAACGTATAAATATCGTGTGAATTTGTAATCGATAAATAATGATCGAAGAATAATTGCAAAGAAATTGCTAAATCATGCGAAATGTAAAAGAAACAAGATGCAGACAAATGTAATACTTTATAATAATAATAGAATTGAATACCTTCTTGGCTCAGCTGTTCGATACGTTCTGTTTTTTTATCGAGTTGTTCACTTAATCTGGATGCTGCTTGTAAGCATTCTTTAGCTTCAGTTAATTGCTCCTATTAACAGTTATTTAAAAGTTATATGTTTGCCTATTAACTATTAAACAAACAATACATAACTATATAAATATACCTTAAGAATTGCTACATCATTGCCCAACTCCTCTTGTTTTTTATAGGATTCGTTTAATTTAGATTGAATTCTCTCAGTCGCTGCTAGGATATCTTTTTCCTTATCTAAAAATTATAGATGCAAGTTATTATCAACTAACCGAGTTCCAATTATTATTAACAACTTATTAAGAACTGATAATTCCTAAATATTTCAAGTCACCTCGTTGGAATTGTTCCAAGACAATCTGCAAGTTAGTCAAGGATGCAGTTTGTGACAGAATTTTATCTTCAGCGGTAGATAATTTATTCTGTATATCGTCCCTTTGTTGAATAATCAATGCTATTTGTTGCTGCAACGTTTCTACTTGCTGATTCGCTCTTATATTTGCGGATGTGTATGCATTTGAACTGCTCTTTACTTTTTCTTCAGCCTGCTGTAGTTTCCCCTCTAATTCTTTTCGCGCTTCCTCCGCAAGTAAAGCATCTTCCGTGTAGCTCGATTCCATTTCGACTAAATGCGTTCGTAACCTTTCTAACTCCTTCGCGGCAGTCGCTTCCTTGCTTTGGCTTTCATTAAGTTGATTCTGCAACATTCTGTTGTTCGACTGCTCCTGAATTAATGCTGTCTCTAACGCGTTACACTTTTCCATGACGATCGCAATTTCCGCTACTAGCGTTGAGTGTTCGCCGATACCACATGTCACAGTTTCTTTGTTCTGGCTTTCATTAAGTTGATTCTGTAATATTCTATTATTCGATTGCTCCTGAATTAACGCTGCCTCGAACGCGTTACACTTCTCCATGAGAATCGCAATGTCGCCTGTTAACGTTGAGTGTTCCACGATGCTACATGTCGAAGTATCTTTACTTTGACTTTTATTAAATTGATCCTGCAACAGTCTACTGTTCGACTGCTCTTGAATTAGTGCTCCTTCTAACACGCTACATCTTTCAGTGAGAATCGCAATTTCCGCCGCGAGAGTTGAATGTCCGACGACACTGCAAGTTTCTTTGTTCTTTGATTCTTCGGCATTTCTCAAACGTTGCTGCATTGCCTCTAACTCGTTCTTTATCGACAGAAGTTGAGTATCTTTCTCCTTCAATTCGGATAGATTATGATCTTTCTTCACTAGCAAACTTTGAATCTGCAATGTTTGTTCGTTCAAGAGGTGCGACAACCTTTGAATTTCGTCGTGATACTGCACGTTTTCATTGTGCTTGCTCGTTACAAGTTTCACGAGTTCATCCCTTTCGTTCTTTATCGTCGCAAAATGATCTGACATCTCCTTATCAGTCTCGGCAAGATGGAGCGTATTTTTCAGACTATTAATTTCCTCGTCTTTTTCTCTGATGAGATGAGATAGACTTTCTATTGTTTCTTTGCTCATATCAGCCGATTCTGCGTTATTGTCCATTACCTCTTGTAATTTCTTTTGCGAATTGAATATCTCCGCCATTAGTTTACTATTATCATTTTTCAAGATGTCGTTCTCTCGTGTCTTTTCCTCTAAAAGGGATACAAGTTGTTGCTTCTCGTTATCACAGACACTTTCATTTACACGATTTGACAAGTCTTCTTTCACCGCTTGTAAACACGCTACCATTTGCTCCAATTTTACACAGTTGTCCTTGGTTTCTTCGTATTGGATCTTCAGGGTTTTATTTTCTTCAGTCAAGGTGGCGAAACTCTCTTGCAGCTTTATCAATTCCCTTTCCCTTAGACGTAGCATTTCAATTTCATTCTCTATTTGAGCATAATCGCTTTGCATGGAACTTAATTTTCCAGTTAACTCGTTGAGCTTCGATTCATTAATCTTTAATTCTTCGTGTTTCTTTATTTCATTCTGTAAATTTTCGTTCTCCAACTGAAGCTTCTCAGCCGTCTTATTCATCGAGAAAAATTCGTCCTCCAGTTTTGCATACCTTTCTTCCATCCCTCGCAATGATTCCTTAGTTTCGTTCAACATCTTTTCATTATTCGTTATTTTTTCCTTCAGCTCGGTCTGTTCCTGTTCCAACAATGATTTTTCTGTGATTACTAGGTCTATTTTATCATTGGAATCGTCTTGAATGGCAGTTAACTGTTCCAACAGCGAATTCTTTTCTTTCATTAGACTTTCGTTCTCCTGACCCAGCTTTGCTATCACGCTTTCCTTCATCTCTATTTGGTTCAACGCTTCGTCCAGTTCCTTTCTCATGTTTAATATATCGTACTCCAAGTCATCTTTCTCGCGGTTGGTTTCCGTTAATTGCATCTGCAGATCTTTCAACGTGTCGTTATTCCCCGTCTCTGAATTACTTTCACGCCACTGCGACAACTCTATCTCCAACTGTTCGCTCCTCCGAGACAGTTCCTCGTTCTCCCGTTGAATTTCGTCCTTCGAATCTCGCAGCAGCGTCAAACTGTTCTCTAATTGTTTCGCGTTAGAAATAGACGTTTTTAACTCCCGTCTCACGTTCTCGAGATCGAGTTTCAGCTCCTCGATGAACTCGATGTTCTCATCCAGGCCTTTGCACTTCTCCAACGACATCCTCAGCTGTTCCTGCACATCCTTCTTCGCGTTCTCCAACAAATCGATCTTCTTCCGTAACTCATCGTTCTCGTCCAACGCCATGTGCAATCTTCGATTCAGGTTCTCCATCGTGTTGAACGTGTCCTCGATATCTTCCGGGATATTCTCCAATTTCGACTGGTCCTGACTCTTTGATCGCGTTTCGTTCGGGCCTCGTATCATCGCATTTTTCTTTCTCAACCAGTGTTTCTTGCGCAACGCGGAATTCTCCACCTCGAGGCATTTCACCTTTTCTTGCAACGACTCAATCTCCCATTCCATCATGTCTTTCGTCCATTTCACGTCAATGTACTGCTGCGTCAGGGTTTCGAAAATCGACTCGTCCGGTTCCATCTCCACGGAGAATCGCTCCAGAATGTATTTCACTTTCCTGGTTAGTTCGTCACCTCTCTCGTCCTGGATATACTCGTCCACGCATTCGACGCTGTCGGTTTGCACGGAACGATCGACAGTTTCTGTTCGCATCGGCACGCTGGACTCCTGGAGTTTACCTTCTAGTTGGATCACTTTGTCTTGAGCTTGATTGTAGTCTACGTAAAGCTGCTCGTAGGCATTTTGAAGGCACTGGTGTTTCCTCTCGATCTCCTCCTTCAGAGACAATAGCTTCTCTAAGAGTTGAGGAAACAGCGGTCAATCATTCATTTGAAAAGAAAAGCAAAAGAAAATGTTAACAAATCGGAGGATATACGCTCCCGACGATAAGTCACCGGACGCTTGTTTGTTCATTTTGAATAAAATGATCATTACAACGTAATAATCGTATGATTTTATAAGAGAAAAATCAAACGAAAAATTAATACCTGGATGCATTGTGCCAATTATTCGGTGAAAATTTAATGAGAAATGATTAATCATAGAAGATCAAAAATAGAACAATAATTACAACATTTAATGAGTTAAAGCTTATATGCATATGCAGGTAAATCGAAAAACTCTGTGCACAAATTATTTAAAGAATTCAAAAACAACAATGAGGTTGAGATTATGATCGTTTGTAATCACATCTTAATTTTATTAACTATCCGGTGATTTATAATCAAGACAGCGTACATATACGAACACGCTTACCTATCGATTCTTCATGCTGCTGATCCAGTTCTTCGATATTGGCGAACAATCTCTTATTCTCTTCCTGAAGCTCCTCGATTTTCTTGTACAATTCTGACTCCCTGTTGCTTGAGGTCTCGATAAATCCATCATGTCCTATGTGATTCTCCGAATTCACGTCGAAATTAGGCTTCAACGCGACAGGTTCGTGGTTCACGCTGGCGGGCCTCTTAAACTTTTCATCGAAGTCGGACTTCTCTTGCTTATTAGCCTCGCTATAATACTTCTCGTTCTCGGTTTCCAGCGCTTTTAGCGCGCCACGAACTAAATCCAGCTTCTCGAGGGAGTTCAATTTGGACAGCACCGTACGGAAATCATTGATCAATGTTGTTTCGTCCGATTGCACGCGTTTCGTGTTCCTCTCGGCCTCCCGGCTCTGGTTAACATAGTTTCGCTTTTTACCACGTGTCGTTCGTCGCAAAATGTCGAAATTTCTTAATATCGCGAGGCGCAATTTTTTTTTTTTTTTTTTTTTTTTTTTTTTCTCTGAACGTTGTGTTTTTTTTTTTTTTTTTTTTTTTTTTTCATTTCTCTGAACGTCGTGCTTTTCTTTTTTGTGTTTCGAGAAAATAATGTACAGACACTTAATTGACCAAAGGAATGAATCAACTGATACAATAAAGAAAGGAATGGAAACCATATCTTTATTGAAGCGTTTTGGATCTTATCTCACAGAAAACTATGCAAAGAACTTTCAACTATCGGCAGCGTGTCGATATTCATTAGCACGGTGTTAACAGTTGCTAAAAATAATTATCTTCGCGCTTGATCGTTTGCTTTATTCGATCACATTGAAGCTTTTAAATACACTACGTCGTTTAATATAAAGTAAACTCAAAGGATTACATTGGAACTTCTTATTTTGAAAACTATCTGCTGCGCTAACGTTAGCGATCTGAAATTTGTTTGATCAAGTACGGTGATTCATTAGGAATGCTTCTCAATCGTGTTAACATCGAAGATCGAAATATGTACATTTTCTAATCTAGACGCGAAAAAATTCCAGCTTCCTCGTGTGTACATTTTTTTCGAGATACATTTACTAAGAATTACCAAGAAATAACGTGTACCTACCTTTTCCTCCATTTGTATTATACGGTTCACCATATCTTGCTTCGCTCTCAGGAATTCCGCTTTTTGGTGACCATCGGTGAATTCGTCTTTCAAGGAGGAATTATTAACCTAGAGTTCAATTGCAACAATTTTAGTAATTAAATAGTAGTATCACTTTGAACTTGATCCACTATCTTTTTTTTTTTAAATTAAACTTCGAAATTAATTAAGAAATTGAACAACATTTTAGCTACTGTATCGCCAATTTTTCTTTTATCCCTTGCACTCTAACATCTTTGATACAAATTTTATATTTTAATCGTCGATAGTTCCAGTTGTTGAAAGTTAAGATTGAAAAGAAATATGTAACATGAAAGGAGATGTAAAACTGTCGACGATCTGTTACGCAATTTGGAGTAAAGAATACAAGTAATAATAAATTGATGATGATACGCGGGCATTTCAACAAATAAGGTGGCAGTGATACGATATTAATTGAAGATAACGTGCAATGACATGTGCTGTCACGTGTGTATATATGCGTGAAACGGACGTCGCTACAGAGTTAAAATTAAATGCAATTATCTGAAAACAATTGCGCCGGTAATTGTGCCTTTTATGTTTAGTGGGACAGAGGAGACAATGCGATTATTAGGTACAAGGAGTAATAATGAAAGTACCAAAAAATATTGTACGCACAATCAACTTTCATTTCAACTGGAATGCATTGAATTATTTATTTCTTATTTATTTCGACGACAAATGGCAGTTTCTAATACCTCACCTTTTGAACACGTTTAAGTTCCACTTCTAAATCTCGTATCCTCACGGTGGCTTGTGCCAACTGTTCCTGCAATTGTCGCATGTGGTTCTGGCTTTTCGAACTTCGATTCTTCGCGGACGGTGGATCCCAAAAGAACACTTCACTCTCGTCATCGTGGTTACTGCCGTTCTAAAACAGATTATAGAAGTTTTCAATTTTTTGGCAGTCGCTTGAAATTAGCGTTTCGTTATTTGATAGAAGTTCGAAAAACAAATAATTTTTCTTCAATCATCAATGTGTAACATGTCGGCTGTCAAAACTGATACGAATTTCCCGAACAATCTGATATTTTACATTTAATGTCGATGATTGAACGTTGGTCGTAATTTTGCGACAAGATTTTAGGTTTTGATGCATTTATACACGGTATGAAACAGAATACAAAAATGATATAAAATATTCAAAGCGTAATGCTTGATATTTGTTACAATGTGCCATTTTTTTAAATTACATTCGAAAAAATGCAAATTTTATTTTATCAAAGTGGATATTATATCTCGATAGATATTATTGAAATATACATAATATTTAAATGTTGCATTTAAATGCAACATAATTTTATTCCACGTTTCTTATAAATGGGCAAAAAAGAAAAGACGCCTGAAGAAACTGAACGAGATGAAAAAGTAAGAACAAGGGTTAAAGTACAAAGTTGCACAGAATGTAGACAACGATCGAAAGATATGATAATACACATATCGAGAGATATATTAATCACGAGTTTTCTGTTTTTCAAATTATATTCTCAAAAATACGAAACCCCTACTTTATACCAAAGTTTAATTATCGTGATTTTCATCCACGACTGGACTGTAGATTTTTATATATGTATTTACAAAAAAGCAAGGTGCGTACACGCGCAGCACGAAAGAAAAAAATATGTGAAATATTCAAAGTACAGTGCCAAGTTCCACGTTTAAACTATACTCTGAAAGAAACATGAATTTGCATAAAAGGTCTACTCTTTCAATGTTCGTGCCTTATTATGTAAAGTCCCGTCCATAATAACATTATACAGGAGCCGCGATCCTGTCGGAGATAGGTTTAAGAAAATTCACGAAGATCCTGCGAACAGATCCCGATGATTTCGAAAGCGTGGCGTGCATTAATGCATCAGCGCATGAGAAAACACGAGCGGCGCTCGTTCGATTGGAAATTCATCGGATGTTTGCCGTTTCTCGTAACGATCGTCGCGAAAACGAGCAATCGTTTACAGGCCGGGGAGGAGGGGAAGTGCCGTACACGTCGTTACGAGCGACAGCGAAATATTATTTACCGAGATCGCGAGCATCGGCGCACAGTAGACCACGTCACGGCGTTTCAATGGCCAAGTCGGATGCGAGTAATTTTCGTCCGAGAGGAAACTCGCGATTATTCCGGTTGTACCGCGCGAAAAAGGCCGCCACTTTTTGAATTTCGTACTGGGAGAGAATCTCTGGTAGTCAAATAAGACAGATCTCTGTCTAAAACGACGCTGTATCACGACGAATGTTTCGATAGTTAATCCAGTCCATAAGTCAAACACTTGCTCAATTTCAAACGAAATTGATACGATTCTTTCACGTGATTTTGTTGTCAATATTTTGGGAAATTTAAATGAAAGTTGTCGATTTGAAAATTCGGTAAATTCTAATTTACAAAATAAAATAAAATTCTAAAAGTCGAGGATGATTGCATTGTACGAACTGTGAAACATTGGGGGTCATTTAGTGAAAGTTGAAGAAATTTTAAAATCAGAACAATATTTATGCAGGGTACATGGCGTAAGTTGTCGATTTGAAAATTTGATAAATTCTAATTTACAAAATAAAATAAAATTCTAAAACTCAAGGGTGATTGCATTGTACGAACTGTGAAACATTGGGAGTCATTTAGTAAAAGTTGAAGAAATTTTAAAATCAGAACAATATTTATACACTTCAAAAATTTGTACAAACTGTTTAAAGGATTCAGAAAACAACAATGAAGTACTTTGTAATCGTGAGCACATCTTGATTTTATTATTTATAAGTGTTCGGTAATTTATGGACGAGATTGTTCCATTATGTCACGCTCGCGTGAACAAACTCGTGTGGATCACATGTCTGATCATGACAGTCAGGTATATTAGATAATTAAATCGTACTTAAGAGGAGATATCAACTATCGAAAGTTACGTTTCAGCAATTCGGATGCGAGCAATTTTCGTGAAAATTTCAAAAGAAATTCGCGATTGTTCGATCGTATCTGGCGAGAAATGAAGAAAACGTTATCAATTAATTGTAATCACTCGCTCCAAATTTAAATCCGAAATTGATGCTTGCCAAAAGAAAACTTCAAATTCGAATCTTGCAAAAGTTCAAACACATGTAATTGGCACAGAATTTTTTATTTTTTAACCTGCGATTCCGAATTTCTTTCTGACAAATAAGTCATCTGGTCTATTTTTCTAATGACGTATCGATGAAAGAGCGAAGCAAAGTAAAACCTTCAAAGTCTGGGCACGTGTGTGGATATATAGCTATGGCTACCAAGATACGCGCTGTTGAAAAGGGTCAACGATTCCATTTTCGTGGATGGAACAACCAATTTAATGATAGTAGAGAGGGACACGTGAGTTGTGCCACACGTTGACGTTACTCCTCGTCGAGTTTGAGTCGAAGCAGGATGCGACCGCGACTGGTAAGCAGCGTGTCATTAGTAACTTAGTATTGTTGTACGCGTTTACATAAGTATCCTACACGTTGTGAACAATGCAAGTGTCGTAGTATGGCGTATGCCTCGGCCGTGGATTCGAAAAAGAAGAAAAAAGAAAGAGAAACGGGGAGAGGGGGAGAGGAGAGGAAAGGAAAGGATGGCGCATTGGCGGGGATGGGCTGCACTTATGCAATCGAAATTATGACCAGTCACGGCTCTCTTTGAAAAGGAGAAAGAAAAAAAAACGGTATTGAAGGTTCGCCGGCATATTCGGTTTTCAAATTGCCCGCACCCGATAGAAAGGATGTCAAGATTTTACGGTGAATTGAGACCTTATAAAAGCCTTGTCATTCCATAGAAATTGCCTGGATTATGCAACCCCTGGCGGACTCTCTCACGTGTTCCGTGCACATTTCGCCCGTTGTTTTTATCCATGCAAAAGCCGGCGCCGAGCCTGCGACGCGAACCATCTCGGATATCTCAATTCAATTCAATTCGCGCCGCTGATACGGAAGGGTAAATTGAATTTGTAACTGAAACGCGTGCTGGATAAATTGCGATCAGAGCTGGGTAACATTTATAGAGGAAATATTTTAAATACTATTTCGAATGGGACGTAAAATTCCAGTAGATAAAATATTTTATTTTGATAATCTAAAACATAGAATGAAATATGTTTTATTTTAATAACATAAAGCATAAAATAGAATAGTCCCCGTAGTTCTTAACTTGAAAATAAATTGTGAAAATGATTAACGTAACGTAATACGAAATCGCGTCCCATTTCCCGAGAGCGTAAAATTATTAAAAGATCAGAGCAGTTTCGACGAGTGTGAACGATACAACGCTGCGCGGGAATTTAATTAAACTGGAATTAACGAAACAACAACATTGCGAGTAGAAAAATAATGTGGAGGTTTGTCATGAAGTCTGCAATAAGCTCGAAACTGTTTAACTCGTTTCAACGAAAGGAAGAGGACGATTGTCTCGACTTTACAATGTCCCGTTAACGAACGTTATCCAATTTAAATTGTAAAACAGATTGTCGTGGAAAACGAAATTACAGGCATTTAAAGAAACGAATTGTCGCCGAATGGTGGAAATTCATTAGGCCCCGTGTCAATAGAGGGACAGACATTTGCCGGTCAATCGATTCGAAAGTCCCTCTCGTCATGCATTACCATAATTCTATACAAATTATACAATGAGCTGTATTGTGGCCACGTATCGTCTTGACAAAAGACTACAAAAACCTAAAATAGATTTTTAACCAACTATAGTTTTCTGTATAAGGGGGAGGGAAGGGAGGGGGGAAAGAAACTTGAGAGGGGAAGAAGGGAGGATTCACCTTTCGACCGGGCTTTACGCTGGTCCAAAGTTCCTTCATCTGAAAGTCAATTCTTTCAACAGATAGTGTGTTTCCTATCTGTGTCGCATAATATAAAAAAGGACGCGTCAACGTTCACGGTTTTCTTCTAACAAAAGTGCATCACGTGGTCGTGCCATCGTTTGGAAGAGAAAGAGAGAGACAATAATATTTAAAATTTAAACGATATGAATATTTTAAATCTAGCGCACAATTGTCCGCAGTACATTTTCACTAAAACTTTGATGTTTGATGCAAACTAAGAATTTTAAATTGTACAGATTTTTTTTTTTTTGGCAAACTTGTCAATTACGTAGTGTACTTAAACGAACTGTTTGAACGTAGTTTATGTATAATTTTTTTTTTTTCAATTTTTAACAAGTATCATATCGAGAGACAAGAGTATAAAAGCGCGCGATAGGTATTAGTCTATATTTTCTTTCTCGCTGAAATGGAAAACTAGAGACAAGAAACATCTGCCAACATCTGTCAATTGTTCGTCAGTCTGACGTCTTTATACAAAGAGCAACAATGTGGATTCAACTGACAATGAAGTATTACTTCGTGCTGGTAAAAAAATTTTTCGAAAGTACCATTTACACGGATGGACTTTAAATTCAAAATGTCTCCGCGATTTCTCGTTCTCTCTTTTTTTTTTTATACCAAGTAGCTGGAACAAGACGAATAAAGAAAAGTTCATTCATTGATGCATGCGTCGAGGCAGTTTAGCGTTGCATCGTTGCATGTTATTCATACGACCCTTTCAGATATGCGACTGATACCGAAAAGCTTTCGATGCATACTGTCCAAATGCTGATCAATGCACGCGCGTTATGCATCTGTCCTGTCAGGCTCTCGGCTGACATTTTTTCAAAGCGATTCTGTCCGCGATAAACCGTTCCTTTCCACCGATGTTCGGTAACCTCGGTTTTAGACAGCGAAGGAAGAAAGGAGGCGAGGAATTCCGATGAACCTCCGTTTCCTTTTTTCTGAATTTAAAGGCATTCTCGTGTTTAAACCGCCTTGGTATTACATCTCGTTGATTTCTTCGTCATTTCTACTCTGCCAAATCATTTTTTTTTTTTACTATAAGAACAACATATCTGTTTTC